CAGGATGTCAGAGCAGGAGCGGTGTGCAGCAAGCATCCTGACTGATGTGTGGCAACGGATAATTACGGCTCTTTCATCAGCTGTCAGGGAGACGGGCCTGGCTGAGCCTCACAACACAGTTCTGGCTCCCTGTCTCAGCTCATAAATCTCTCCAGCAAGGCGTGATAAATCAGTGGGCCAGCTGAGCGTTCAGCCCTGGAGTAGAAGGCCCCCATCGGCCTGCCCACCCCCATAATGGGCACGTAGATAGGAAGCAGCCAGGACAAGGTGCGGATGGTCTCGGGGCGGTGCGCTAATTACAGGCAGCGAATGGCATCCTGGAGCCTGTGATTTATTGTCTGGCCTTCCCCTCTTCCGAGTGCTTGGGGTGGAAGCCTGTGGAGTGGGGCCGTGCCAGAGCAGAACCCCGGAGAAGAGAGGAATGGGGCGCTGAGGGGAATCCGCCGCACAGTCCTCCTGGGACAGGGCAGCGTCATTGTCCCAGTACTGCCAACCCCAAATGGTCAAAAATCCGGAGTCAGGCTCAGCAAAAATCCTGAGATTCTGTAAAAATAATAAATTTGGGGTTCTTCTGCTTTTTGAGCCTATAGGGTGCACTGGGGTCACAATTTGAAGCTTTGAGGGCTAGAAATGTACTTTTTCTCTAAGAACAAAGGCTGAAATCATCACAGATCCACTTGATTCCAGGAGCTGGGGCTTTAAGGAAAACTATAAATACCATGAAACTCATGACAAATTCACGAGAGTTGGCAACACTGCTTAAGTGTCCCCACTTTACAGTGGAGGACGCTCAGGCCCAGAGAGAGACATAACTTGCCAGGGTTCTACAGCGCGACAGGCTGAAATAGAACCCAGGAGTCCTGGCTCTCAGTCCCATCCCCCCCCTTCCCATGATGTGCTTCCTCTGCCCCTTCTGCAGTGCCACACTGACACCAAAGCCCAGTCTGCATCCTCCCAACACCCGGTATGAGCAGCATGTCCCAGCCCCGCTGGGGGAGGGCGGCCCTCGGGGCTGCTCCACCACAGGAAGTGCCATAGCCGGAGGGCAGAGGGGGGCCCCTCTGAGGTGGAATTCGGATTGCAGCCGGTGCCCTGCTTCCCCCAGTAAAGGCCCAATGGCCCTAGCCATGTAATCTGGTTTGTATGTCAGAGGACAATGGCCTGGGGGATTAGTGCTGCCAAGCCGGAGGGGTCTTGACTGCCCCCCAGGGCTTGCAGCATAGCACCAGGGGCAAGGCCCTAGGAAACACACTGCCCAATGGGTCACCCCAGCGCCAGTGCTGGGGCAACTGTGTAAGAGTTCCCTGAAATCTTCAGTGGAAGCAGCCGGGGCTGCCCTTCGCCCCGGACCTGTAACCACTAGGCCTTGCCCTGTCTGTATCCCACATGGGTCTGTCGGCTCCCCTCCATTTCCCCCCTCGCCCTGGGGCTCCCTGGGGGTGGAGAGAGCCCCAGTGGAAGATGAAATAATAAAGTGCCCCTACTCTGCTGCGCCGTGGGACGTTCCCCCACCCGTGCCAACGCCCCCTGCAGGAATCCATCGGCACTGCACACCGGTTCTGGCCCGCATTTCTGCATATGGGACGGGCCCGGGATAGGTACCTTGGTGGCTCCCGCAGGAACCCCCGGCTGTTAAATCCTGCCCCCAGACAGAACCTTGCTCACAGCTGACCTGGGCAGGCGAGTCCTTTGGGCCAGGAAAACTCCTGCTCCTGGGCGGGTAAGATTCCAGCCGGACAGAGAAAGCCATTGAGGTGGGAACAGGTGCGCTGTGGCGAGTGAGCGCAGGTGATGGCTCTGAAATATTTGTAGAACTTTGCCTCACTTTGAAGTTCTGCTGCCCCGCCTCTTCCCCGAGGCCCCCAGCTTCTGATTTATTGACCTCCGCTAACACAGGCACCGAAATTAGCTGCAGCTTCAAAGAGCTGAGAGCAAAGAAGGGCAATAGACAAATAGCTGCCCGCTAATTGTAGCTATTGATCAAACTCCGGTTGAGCTGATCAGATAAGATGGATGGATAAAAGGGGGCCATGATCGCCAGGAACCCCAGCAATTTGTCAGGCTGGCTCCTGCACCATTCTTCAAAACATTACCGTGGGCTCATGCAAGTAGTTAATAGCCGAGTGCTAATTAAATTATCGGCAGAGGGCAGTGGAATGAATTGCTTCAATGGAAGGCGGCCGCGTGGCGGTTTCTCAAAGATGCTGCGTCTGCATGGGGAGGCGGCAGTGAACCTGCCTGGACAGCACGCTGGCAAGCAAGGGGGTGAAACGTTCCCATCAGTCGAGGGAGTTTTGTTTCCAAAGCGTGTCCCAAAGGAGTCCAGGGGGATTCCTCCACCTAGGAGTGACCAGTATCCAATGCCCCAGGAGAACGGGAGCGCTGCCCTCTCGTGCGTGACTGTGCCGATGGAGTGAGCAGGCAGTTCTCAGGGTCGTTAGCATGGATTATTGTGGGGGGCCCGACAGACGCACCACAACCAAAACATGAGGGTTTTCACGCTGCAGGGGGCGAGAGGGGGCAGCCAGGGACCCAAGTGGTGAAAAGGTGGCAAGAGAAGGAGGGCAGCCAAGTGGTCAAAGCCCAGGAAGGGAGGCAGGCGAGCTTGCCTCCGTTCCTGGCCAAGTGATGTGGGCTGAGCTGCTGTCGTCACTGGCTGCTGATGGGCCAAGCCATTGCATAGCAGCCCTTGGTTAGGAACAGAACTCTAGGCCCCTCGTTTGGAAATCCTGCCCATCGTTGCTTGCATTTGCCATAGGGCCGAGGAGCCCGAGTCCTTGACTAGCCCGCACTGAGTTAGAGGCATGATTTTCCCACAGCTGGCTGGCGGATCAACCGTCTGCTCTCCATGCCGGAGAAACCATGGGGTGCTTGGGCCCTTCCTCAGGAGCCCTGTCTTCCCAGAACAGATCCTGCCCCCGGGCCCCCAGCTCGCTGCTGCTCCGGGGGGCCAGGGAGGCCTCTGGAGGTAGGTAGCACTTTTATCAGCTTCGCTTCCTGCTCCACGGGGCAGAGGGCGTGACTAGGCCCCCAGGCAAATTCCTCTGCCCCAGCCGTGCGCAGGGGGTGGGTAAGTGGTCAGCCCCCTTGCAAAGGGGGGAATGTTGCCTGCACCACTGCTCCCTCCCCCACAAGACCAGGCCCCTAGTGCCCAGTGCGGTTCATGCCCCCCTCTCATCCGGCGCGTCGGCTTGGGCTGCAAGGGGAGTCAGGGCCAGGCCTGCAGGTGACAGCTCTTGGTGCCTGTTCCTAAGTGCGCTCAGTGCTGAGGGGTGCTGGGCTGCCAGCCCAGAAGATGGAGGGGTCTGACCCAGAGCAGCAGCAGCTGGGCTGCTTCCCCTACACACTGCTCCCTTGTGCTAGCGTGTTTCCAGACAGCCTGCAGGGGCACCCTCGAGGACCCATGGGTCTCCCCGGCCAAGCCCAGCCATTTGGCCCCGTGCTGAGAACAGGGCCAGCAGTGCCAGCCGTGGTGAAGACCCCTGTTTGCTAGGAGCTGGGCTCCACCTGCCCATCAGTTACCCACAGGCACTGCACAGGTGGGAACTACTGAGGCGCTGAGCTGAAATGAAAGAACCCCTCTCTGACTGGCAGTCCCCCCAGGGCACCCAGCCCCGTCTCTTGGTGCTGCCCACTCAGCGCCTGCCCGCAGCTCCAGGCAAAGCCCCGTTCGAGACGTGCTCCTGGGGCACACCGGGCATACCCGCGCACCCAGCACCCGCGCAGGGCTGAGCTGCTCGGCCCACTAACCTCCCACCCTGGATCCAACGGATGGGGAGACACTCGGATGCTGCCCGAGGGGAGTCCCCACTACGGAGAGGTGGATGCTGGTGAAAAGCACGGCGCCAACCCCTAGCCATGCTGCTAGGAACCCCTGAGCGGTGGGCGGGGAGGAAGATGCTTGAATCATGAGATTGTATTGCACCTCCAGATGCATTGTGGGAGTTGCATGCCATTGACTGCAATACCTGGGACCAGACACGACTAGCTGCTCCCCTGGTGTCACAGCCCCTGCAATTAACCAGCTGGGGCAGGACAGAGGCGTCTGGACAGCAGCTCCAGGCAGCCCCAGCAGGCTGGGGTGAGGAAGGAGCCCGCGCTGCCTTCCAAACCGTCAGACCATAGGCCTGAGACAGAGAAACAGGCGGGCGATTTAGAGAGACGATGAGGGCCTGGGTGTCAGGACTCCTGTGTTCTACCCGCAGATCTCTATCATGGACACACTCTAGAGCAAGCCGCTGCCTTGGTTTCCTCTCAGTAAATGAGGGACAATAATACAGCGCTGCAGTGATGGGTGCAGGAGAATAACCCAGCCAAACACTGCTCTGCCACGCAGGGGCTGCAAGGCACTTTGAGGTCCTGAGATGCAAAGAGGTGCAAATAGCAATTGTATTTGAAATGGCCGCCTGAGCAATATGGCCAGCACTGTGTGCTCATTGGAGCTTGTCTATCAGAGACAAGGGGCGGCAGGGGACACATCTTTTATTGGACCAGCTTCTGTTGGCGAGAGAGACAAGCTTCCCAGCTACACAGCACCAAGTCTGAGGCAGAGCTCTGCCCAGCTCCAAAGCTTGTCTCTCACCTGCAGAAGTTGGGTCCATAACATGACCTCCCCCGCCTTGCCTCTCACATCCTGGGCCTGACCCGGCTCCAGGACACTGCAAGCGTTGTCTATCCGCAGCCTCTGCACAGGAGAGCGCCCCTGGCCGCTGAAAGCAAAGCAGTGACAGGCCTGGGATGTTCTAGATCCCCGTGAGTCTGCCCAGCCCGGGTGAGGGTCTCTGGGCAGAATCTTGCAGCAAACCGAGGCAGTGACTAACCCTACAAATGGAGGCCCCTTCACAGCGAGGGCTGTGCCTAGGGTTATCTGCGAGCCCGACAGCTCTGAGTGATTTACAGCCTGTGCTCTCCACAAACAGGCCGAGCCCCTCACTGCTGCCGGAGCTTTGCACCCATCTTCTGGCCCGGTGCAGCCAGGAGCTGGGCAGGAGAGAAACACAAAGGGGGCGATTTGTTCCGGAGGCCGAGTAAGGAGGGGGAATGTGTGTGATCTTCCTCACAGTGCAGCTAAGGACAGGCTCAGCTTGGTCTGCGCTGTACAGGTGTTTCCCTGCTTCCTGTCATCCCTGACCTAATCCAGCATACCTGGAGGCAGGTAATAAAGGGCCCAGGAAAGGAACCACGTGGTGCAGTGCAGCTCTGCCTTGGAGAGGTTTTAGCAGGAGTGTCTAGCAAGCCCGGCAGGAGTCCAGCGCTTTGCTTCCCAGGAGCAGAGCGGAGCGGAGCGGAGCCATGCCCAGGCCAGCCCTGGGGAAAGGCCCAGCGCGCCTGCAGGAGCCCGACGGCACGCGAGAAGAGCTCCAAGGGGTGGCTGTCTCAGGGGCTCACCTCCTGGGAGCTGGGCAGGAGCTGTGGGCACCCCAGGCTGGCGAGGCCACCGCCTGCCCGAGCGACCCGGCGGAGGCTAAGCTGAGGAAGAGGAGCAGGCCAGTGCGCTCCAAGGCGAGGAGGATTGCTGCCAATGTCAGAGAGCGGAAGAGGATCCTGGACTATAACCAAGCCTTCAACGCCCTGCGGCTGGCCCTGAAACATGACCTCAACGGCAAGAGACTCTCCAAAATCGCAACCCTGCGAAGAGCCATCCACAGGATCGCCTCCTTGTCCATGTCCCTGCATGCCAGCCCGGGGCGGAGGTGGCCCTGTGCCCACACAGAATGCCGCACCTGGTACGACGGGCCCCGCCAGGAGGAGAGCGGTAAGGGCATCCGGGCCCAGTTCACCCACTTGCCCCCGGAGCACTGCTACCCAGATGCTCCCAGCTTCCAACACTGCCCTCCCTCCCCGCCGTATCCCAGGTATTCCCCTGAGCCTCCGCTCCAGTCCCACTATGGAAGCCCGAAGAAGGATCCTTTTATAGCCAGCCCTGCCTATTACTCCAGTGGGAACTACTACCTCGGGGTCAGAGCCATCTGCCAACAAACACACCTGGACAACTTCCGAGATTCTCTCCCCGGGCCAGTCCCCTGGCAGCTGGGGTATAGCCAAGGCTCCGGGTAGCAGCAGTCTCTCCCCAGGCACTGAACGGGATTCCTGACACCTCTCCCAGCCGGACAGGACAAACCAAACCGGGGACACAAAGCGCTGTCTGCTGGGGAGTGCGGTGCCATGAGGGGAGCCCAGGACAGGGTTCTCAGCGTTGCTGGCGCAGCTGAGCACACATGCCCTCTGCAATCCAAGGAACGCAGGAAAACTGGGAGCAGCCGGAAGTGGATGCTTTGTATTTACTCTAGCAGGAGTTCAGACTATTTAACTCTGCTGTAAATCTAAGGTTTCCCTTCTGCAGTTCTTCCTGTCTCAACCCTTATTTATTCTCTCTCTCTTTCTTTCTGAGGAAATGTGAGTTTAAAAAAACCAGGGCATTTATTCAGCGTTGGCAAAATGGCTCCCCCGACCATATTAAAACTCTTTCATTGTATGGCAGCTGTGACTGTGTGAGGAGAGTTCTGGAAGCAGAAGCTGGTAAGGTTAATTGTAACTTGTGTTTTTTAATGATAAACCTGCAGGTGCCCAGCTCCCCAGGACTGTGCTGGAAGGGCTAGAGGTGATCAGGACTCAGGTTTCGCCGGCTGGCAGTGATTAGAAGGATGGCTTTGGCCAGCAGAATGATGAATTCCCGGCCAATCCACATGGGGAGGGAGGAAAGCGAGAAGCTGGGTGCAGCACACTCCAGACAATCCCGGAGAGGGGGGTCTCAGAAAGGCAGGGAGAGAAGAGGGTGCAGGGGAGAAGGACAGGGTCAGAGCCTGCGATTGAAACAGCCAAATCAAGGGCTTGTCCATTCGCAAGCCCCTGGCCAGACGGTTCCCATGCTCAGTGTGCTCTTGTTGTGGTGGGAGAGAAGGTGAAATGCGGGAGGGCTGGCGAATCTGGGCTGGCCACGGCTGCTTTGCACAGGGAAAATCAGTCTCGGGAGCCTCGGGGGTAGGCAGGAGGGCAGAAGAGAAAGTTTGGAATCAGATCTAAAGAGCAATGCAAATGTACTGGGAAGGCCTGGCCCTTCCCCTCAGCTGGGCAGCGCCGGGGGGAGGGTAGGCCTACAGCCGGGGGTGCACAGAGAGGCTGGGAGAGCAGTGGAGAGGAGGCAGCAGTCTGACTTTGGGTAGCTGCCTTGCTCACAAGCGGCAAAGCGAGAGCACTGCACTCTTATGAAAGCAGTTCATGCACAGCTCCCCTGTGCTGGCTGAGATCCCTCCGGGGGAGCAGCAGGGGGCCTGTGTTGTGAGCACCCGGCACTGCCCCAGGGTGGGCCCTGAGGCAGGCCCTTGATAAATAAAGCTACTCACCCAGATCTGCCCCAAGTGCCATCCCCTCCTTCACTTTGCGGTGTGAACCCTTTCCATGCTGCGCCAAGGGGAACCCAGCCTGGCCCTTGGAGCGCTCGGCAGCGGGAGAACCAACCGCCATTCAGTGGCTTTACAGGAGAAATGCTACTGAAGGGTGTGAACAAGAGGCACTACCAGTGGTGACTGCCAAGCACTGGCCGATTTGTCTTGGGGGTAGGGGGAGAGGACAAGATACCGACAGAAACTCAGAGCCTGGCTAAGCCAGGGCAGAGACTGACCTCGACTGACTGATGCTGGACCCAGAGTTGGGTTCCAGAAGACAGAGCGGGATTTGTTTCTGCAGTGACCCGTGGGCAAAGCAGTCGGATTCAGACGGGCGCTCTGTCTGCCAGCTCCCGAGGAGATATCTGCAAAGGAGCTCTTTGGCTGAGCATTAGGCCTTTCACTCGTGTGGGGGGCAGGTACGCTGGGCTGGGAGGCCAGCAGAGGAAAGACTGCGGGAGCCAGTTCTGTGGCTAAGGAGGGCTGGCTAGGTGTTGGGTCAGGCAGCTGTTCCCCGCTAGGTGGGACTCCGGTGCCAGGAAAGGGCCTGCGGTGGTTACTGCCTGGGAAATCCTGGTTAACCGCAAGCAGCAGCCTTTCCTCGTCCATTTCTGCTGTCAGTGTGAAGCTGACACGTTTCTGCTGTGGAAGGCTTTCATTCATTCCGGGTACCTGCTCAGACACGACCCCGAGGGAGAGACACCCTCCCCCCGCCCCGCTGCTTGTCACCGGCAATGGTTGGGAGGCTTGATCCCATGAATTATAGGATTCAAAATAGCGCACAGCCAAAACCAGACCCATGTCAAGGTCCTCTCCGGAGAGCCCCCCTCCAATCCTGTGCCTCTCGAGGCTCATTTACCGCACCCAGCGCGCTGAGTCCAGGGGAGCTCCAGGTTGCAAAGGGGGCTGGTTGCTTTGCGGAAAGGTAACTGGTAGGACAGCCCCCAGTGCTCTGATAATGGGCAGAGAGGAAGGCTGGGCTGGGATTCAGGAGACCTGGGTCCCATTTCCAGCTCTGCTGCAGCCCCCCCGTGTGACTATGGGCAAGGCACCTTGTGTCTCTGTGCCTCAATTTCCCATCTGCAAAATGGGAGCAATAATACACCCTTTGTCTTATCTATGGAGCCCTCTGTGACAGAGACAGTCTCTCCCGCTGTGCGGACCTAACACAGTGGGGCCCTGCCGGGCCAGCGGGTAAGCGGAGGAAGAGGAGACGCAAAGGGGTAAAACTGAAGGCTCTGGAAAAAGCCAGGGAGCTGAATGCAGAGAGCACGGCCAGGACAGACGAGGTGGGGGAGGCTCCCAGATTAGCAAGGATGCAGAGCGGATAGTTTGGTGCCATCCAAATTGTTTTGTGGCTGATGCAGAAACGACTTTATCTGCGCCACTAGGTGGCACTTGGCTCCTCTGAAAGGATTCACGCTGCAAAGAGACGGGTTGCAGTGTGTTAAATCCCTGTATACTGCTGGAAACGGCCCCTCCCCTGCTTTGCCTCCCAGCTCTAGCCCCATTGCAGCAAGGCTGATTGATTTATGAGTAATTAATAGATTAACAGGATGTAACCCACCCCCACTTCTGCCGTCCTGGCAGCCTGCCAGGCATTGGGCCAAAATCTGCTTTCGTGTACACCGGTGTCCATGGGAGTCAGGCCAGTTACTCCAGACTGCCGCGGGGAAAGGAGCAGAATCTGGCCCGGTCCTGTCTCCCCTCACTCAGGGGAAGGCAGGTTTCGCGCTGGTTTCCCAGAGGCACTGGAAGAGCTCTGGACCGTGCCTGCGGAATGGCCCACGGACGTTGCCCCCGGGCTTCTCTTTCTTTGTCTCAGAGTTCAGCCCCCCATGTCCTGGCCTCCCTCACAGGGCAGAGTGAGGCCTTGTCTTTGCTGCAGTTCTGAATATGGGGCCTCTTCCTTTGTCTGGCTCTCTGGATCTCCTCTGAAGATTGAGTCAAACCCAGACAAACAAGGAAGATTGGTGGTCAGGGTACTAGCCCGCGGCTTGCAAGAGCTGGGCTCCCGTCCCTGTTCCGCCACAGACTTCCTGTGTGACAGCGGCACGTCACTTAGCCTCCCTGTGCCTCCGTTCCCACGTGTCCGGCACTGCCCTGCCTCCCACGGGCACTGGGAGGAGAAATACCGAACAGCCCGTGAGCACGGCCCAGAGGGATCTCTGCAGTGATGGCACCTAGCACGTGAGTGAGGCTTGTGGCTCTGGCATCTGCAGCCCACCACCCCTGGCCACCCCCTGCCCCCCCCGGCCGCCCGCCCCACAAGTGTGACTGCGCCTGCGGCTCCCCCAAACGGCTCGAGAACCCCCGAGCACCGAAGGGCTGATCCTTCAGCTAGCCGCTGAGGGGCTCCGCTGTCAATGCGAATGAAGCCGAGATAAAAGCGGCAGCCCTCCCCAAAGGGCTGGGCACGACAGATCGCCCCAGCAGCCCACTACCCCCGTGCTCCTGGGACGCCCTGGCACTAAGCGCGGATTCCCCTGCCTCTGACCCATTCTCCACCGTGTCGTTCTTCCCCAAGGCCCAGTGCGATGCTGGGCCAGCCGCTGCCCTCGGAGCCCAGGACAGCCTACAGAGCAAGCCCCGGCCCTCCCTCCCCACAGACGGAGCAGTCCCACGGGAACACGACTCACCAGCTTAGGACCAGCCAGCCAGGGCTTCAAGGGCAGGACACTGGGGTTTTCACAGAAGCACCTTGTAACCTGACTATGAACGTACAAACCACCTGACCCCCTTGGGCTGGCACTGGGGCGGGGAGGCTCTGATCACCTCCTCCTGCGCCTTGGGTTGGCGTGGTGGTGGTCAGTCTCTGGCTGCCTCCTGCCCGTGGGGTTGGCAAGGCGGGGGGGGGCAGCCGGGGGCACACGGGCACTGCTACACTGACCCCACGGGCAGGAGGCGGCCGGGAGCCCATCGCGGGCACCGGGAGCGCCACGC